ATATATATATATATATATATATATATATATATATATATATATATATATATATACATTTTGATACTACAGTACTACATTAAAGCTACCACATTAAAGCCTCCATGAGTTTTGTTTTCTGCATGAACTTTTCGCTGATAAGTTTTGTGGAGGACCATCTCCTCTTGACATAGGAGGTGTATATTGTCTACACTATACATGCATCACATTTATAAACATTTTTTAATGGAGATTGTTCTCTAATAATTCTGAAGGAGAAAAGACATTCACATAACTGACTCCGAAGATTTGGGGTAAAAGCTTTATTGTTGTTATATTATGCACGATACATTTAATTATTTTATTTATTTGTTGGGAAACTTATCTATAAGTAAATATGTCATGTGTGCATTCGTAGAAGATAGAGGTTGCTCCTATTGAGGATAAAATGAGAGGTTGAGGGTAACATGAGAGAGTCGATTGAAATGGTGTGGTCATGTACGATAGAGAGGCTTTTTAGTGCACCGGTTAGGACATGTGACAATAGTATAGTTAATGGGAGCAAAGACATATTGAGGGGGACCTAGAAGTACTTGGTTGGAAGCAATGAAGAAGGATATATTAATAGTTAACGAAGGAGATGACCCACATCATGATAGAGCTGAATGGAAGAATAAGATTCATGCAACATAAAGACTTTGTTGTTGTCGTTCTTATATGAAAATTCATGTATTAATAATAAATGGGATAGCTTATTACAAATTCCAACTGCTAGATAATTAGAACTGTTAAAATTAGTGGCATAGAGGATGAAGACAACACAGTTCGCTAATATTTGTTATGGGGCTTTAAGTCATATAAATGATCCAAAAACCCAATCAGAGAAATGTCCAATAAAAACTGAAAACTAAACCCCACCTCCTTATGGGTCTGGATTTGGGTTTTACATGCATTGAACATGTTTATTTGATGGCCGAATTTGATATTAATGGGATGTTTTTGTCTGTATTATCTGGCATAATGATAATTTGGTGGTATTTCTGCAGGTTGAACACTTGCTCAGTGGATTAGCTATGGGGAATTCTCTCACTGTGACTGCAACTAAGATGATTTTTCTTCGTACTGCCTCGATGAACACAATAATCTTTTCGGGTTGACATTAGAGAGAGAGGAGGTTTCGTTGTTGAATATCTTTCTTCATAGATTGGTGTTCGCCCAATTTTTTAAGAGGAGGACAAAGGATGGAGAATAATTGAGATAAATGTAATATTTGCTGGTTAATGAATACATTTGATGTTGCATCATTGTTGTTCTGGGATTTGACTGTGATGTGAGCCATAAGTTTCTTTCATTCTTTTGTTGTTTGGAGGAGTGATAGCTTGTCTGAGTTGTGCAACATGACCACGAGTTCTTGATCCTCAAAATAAATAAATAAATAAATAAATAAAATGAAATGAAATAAAATAAAATTCTAGTAACATGTTCATATTGTTTGTGTCGTCTATAGGTTATACGACCTTGCTTTAAATTGGTAGGTATTACACTGGAAGATGTGGTGGTGAAGGACTTTACACTGGAAGATGTGGTGGTGAAGGACTTTGACTAGTTCTGGCCATTTAATTGTTGATAGAAGAGCATGAAACCGAATCTCCAGGCACACTTAATTAGAATATGTATTATTTATTTGTTACTGCGAAATTTTTCAGTGTGTTACTTATTTGTTCATTTATCTATTTTTAAAATAATTGTTAATAGAAGAGCATGAATCCGAATCTCCAGACACACTTAATTAGAATATGTATTATTTATTTGTTACTACGAAACTTTTCAGTGTGTTACTTATTTGTTCATTTATATATTTTTAAAATAATTTGGTGGGATAAAATTGACAAGACATTTATTATCAGCCGGGAGAATTTAGGTCCTGCCGACCCAGCGACTGCGACTCGGAGAACCAAAATT